ATTTATGGCTCCACATCCGAGTTTCATATTGCACACCTGATGAGCCGTCACGAACCATACGGCGAAACGTACGTCGTGTGAAACAACTTGTTTTGTAGTCAACTAGTCCATCACAATGTCATGCATGAGGAGTACTGTAGGAGTTTGGCTTTCGGCTTGTACAATTCGTTTTCGCAAAACTTCCCTTTCTTTACTTATCTTTGATATTTATGACCCACCCAAGTTGGGTGGTGTGCTGCTTTGCAGCTTCGAATTGTAGTTAGACCGCTTTGTCAAATATCGTACTGGTCTCGTCATCGTCCAGTAACAATGGACATTCTTTGTTCCGTTGGGACTGTAACTTTTGCTCGTTTTCGTTGCGCTTGCCTTCCCCTCTTTGGTCTTTCCATAACCTTGAACCTTCCAAATTGGAAGGCTGTCGGTTAGCGCTATGGAGATGTGTTGAAGCTAGGTGTCAGGACGTCGAATGTTTCAGTACTCTGTCAGTTTTGTGCCTAGTTATTGCACTTTCTGACTGTATAAAGTATCATGTTACAGTGATGGAGAGTTACTCTTAACTCGTATCCATATGTCCTTTTCTCTTCTACATTTATTTATGGCTCAACATCCGAGTTTCAATCTTAATAATGCAATGAATATAACTAAATGCGCACTCATATCATAACCATGGGGACGAATCATGTATTCCAGAACGTTTTCTTGTCACAATTATCAATGGAATTCGTGACTAAAGAGAATGATGAAACTACAATAAGATTTATACACTTGGAGTGGAACAGCGAGGATACAAGCATAGTAAGAAAAATAGCACAAACCTAGGAACAATTTGCACAGGTAATAAACTATAGGTGAGGTGAGAAATGATAGGAAATTCAGCAAGTGCAGTGTGACAATGGACATGCATGTGCAAGTGTGCGTGCGTGCGAATTTACTGGAATGGCGTGAGTGCGGTGACATTTTCTTTTTGTTTACAAAGATTTGGATCACGAATGCGAATGGAGACTGCTTCTAGAACTTTCAACTGCTTGAAACTTCTTGCAGAACGAACAACACTGAACCAAGAATCATCATAACTTTCACGGCACACGGGGTTAGACAACAAATGCAATTTAATTGCCGATGTATTCTTCTTCTTCTCACCGCCTCCGCCTTCACTTGGTTTCTGACCGCCACCGTCCTTCACACCATCTGCACCATCATCGTCATCATCGTCATCGTCCTCTTCATCATCGCTGCCACCTTCACCTGTCGTCGGCTCTCCCAGCAACTGACAACCGGGTTCATCATCGTCACTGCACACGTCGCTTCCACACTCCTTGCCAAAAATTCACAAGCAATCTTGTCCGCTACGTCCGATACTCTCCATGACTGGCTCAGCGGAATACAGAATATCCAAATGGCTGTGTATGATGATCCAGCCAGTGCTGGATTTCTACTGTAAGCACAACGTCAAAGACACCTTCCAGTTTGTTGAAATCTTACATGAGAACCCAGTTCCGTCTTCTGCGCACATGTGTTCCTTTGATGTTGTCAGTCTGTTTACAAACGTACCATTATCCGAGACAATCAATATCTGTGCTGAAACACTGTACCACAACAAGGAAATAAAAGATGTACCATGGCTGTCCGAAGCGGCTTTTCGCCGCTTGATGTTGATGGTTACGAGTGGTGTGGAGTTTCATTTGACGACATCATGTATAAACAGACGGATGGCGTGGCTATGGGTTCTCCATTGGGTCCGGTCCTAGCCAATGTGTTTGTTGGGTACTGTGAATCGAGGATAGAAAAGTGGCCGGAATTGTACGTCAGGTTTGTGGATGACTCCTTCACGTACTTTGATTCGAGAGCAGACGCTGACGACTTTCTGCTGAAACTGAATACAATCCATCCTGCACTGAGATTTACGCGTGAACATGAAGAGTCCAATAATCTATCGTTTCTAGATGTGTTAGTCGAAAAGACCCAGACTGGTGTATTGACTACAGTATACCGTAAACCCACTTTCACTGGGCAGTACATGATGTTTGACTCGTTCTGCTCTTCCCAGTACAAGTCAAACTTAGTTCGTAACCTTGTAAATAGGGCACAACGCATTTGTTCACCAACAAAGCTACAACAGGAACTTGATTTTCTACGTTCCGTTTTTGTGAAGAATGGCTACCCGCAGCAGCTTCTCGACAAACTTCTAACAACTACACCTGTTGTTAAGGAACGAGCTATCGGACCGTTGCCGTGCGGCGTATTTCTTTGCTTGCCCTGGAAAGGGAAGGAATCGAAGGACACGGCCCGTGTGGTGAAATCCCTAGTGGAGAAAACCTACTTTGCCACCAATGTGGTTACCGTGTTCACCACGATCCGTTCATTCACGATGTTGAAGGATGTCCTACCAACCCTACCATTGAGTCACCTCATTTACTACTTTGAATGCCGACAATGTGGTAGTCGGTATGGTGGTAGGACCCTTCAACATCTGTCCGAACGTATCAAACAACACGTACCGCTCTCACTATTGTCACAGGCGGCTAGGTCCTCCCGACCAAAGCGTGGCCGACCACGTAAGCACCTGACTCCACAGTCCGTTCCGGCAGAGGCTTCTGCTCCACAAACGGTGTCTCGGAAAAAACCAACACAGCACGCAGAAATCGGGAACAAACATTAATGTAAACAAAGAAGAACACTGTGTCTTATCTTCATTATCAGCGAGTACGGGTACGCCGGACGCAGACAACCGCAACTCACCAAAGCTGAGAAGGAGCAAACGGCTGGCGACAGCTCGGTTTGCAGAGGTGACTGGAAAGATGCATCGAAACTCTCCGGATCTGGATGATGCCAGCGGAAGAGTTGACGACTGTCAGGTGTTTGGCAATGGCAAGGGAAGACCAGTCAGGAAGAGAACGCGACGGCAGCTGGAGGAGGAGTGTGGACGCGACGTGTGCAGTGACGATGATGAACCCGGTGGTCAGTTGAAAATGTCACCGCACTTACGCTATTCCAGTAAATTCGCACTCACACACACTTGCACATGCATGTCCATTGTCACACTGCACTTGCTGAATTTCCTATCATTTTTCACCTCACCTATAGTTTATTACCTGTGCAAATTGTTCCTAGGTTTGTGCTATTTTTCTTACTATGCTTGTATCCTCGCTGTTCCACTCCAAGTGTATAAATCCTATTGTAGTTTCATCATTCTCTTTAGTCACGAATCCCATTGATAATTGTGACAAGAAAACGTTCTGGAATACATGATTCGTCCCCATGGTTGTGATATGAGTGCGCCTTTAGTTATATTCATCATATTATTATAGATTATTGTCTCCACGTCGCCTTTTAAATAATAATAATAATAATTTGAAACTCGGATGTTGAGCCATAAATAAATGTGGAAGAGAAAAAGACATATGGATACGAGTTAAGAGTAACTCTCCATCACTGTAACATGATACTATATACAGCCAGAAAGTGCAATAACTAGGCACAAAACTGACAGAGTACTGAAACATTCGACGTCCTGACACCTAGCTTTAACACATCTCCGTAGCGCTAACCGACAGCCTTCCAACTTGGAAGGTTCAAGGTTATGGAAAAGACCAAAGAGGGGAAGGCAAGCGCAACGAAAACGAGCAAAAGCCACAGTCCCAACGGAACAAAGAATGTCGATTGTTACTGGACGATGACGAGACCAGTACGATATTTGACAAAGCGGTCTAACTACAATTCGAAGCAGCAAAGCAGCACACCACCCAACTTGGGTGGGTCATAAATATCAAAGATAAGTAAAGAAAGGGAAGCTTTGCGAAAACGAATTGTACAAGCCGAAATCCAAACTCCTACAGTACTCCTCATGCATGACATTGTGATGGACTAGTTGACTACAAAACAAGTTGTTTCACACGACGTACGTTTCGCCGTATGGTTCGTGACGGCTCATCAGGTGTGCAATTTGAAACTCGGATGTTGAGCTAGTATCATGTTACGGTGATGGAGAGTTACTCTTAACTCGTATCCATATGTCTTTTTCTCTTCCACAATAATAATAATAATAATAATAATAATAATAATAACAGCTCGCATGTACCCCATGGGTTGAGATAAAGTCTTCAATTTCTGGTACTTTTCTCCTTAGGGCCGATTCCCACTACGGTACCGTGAGTGCCGTGCCGTGAGTACCCATGGTGATTTTGCTCACGTGGTATTCCGCGAGGTCGAATGCAGTGAGTAGTAGGTATTTTACTACTCCCTGAAAGGAAGTTTTCTCTTTCTTTTGTATTTGTGGTACGAAGTTTTTTCTTGGCTTTTGGCTTTTCGATTGGTTGATTCTTGAACTTTCTCCAGTCATCTCCCCGGCCCCCGCTTATTTCCCTCAGGACCCAAGTGAGAAATTGATTAAAAAAAATGGTGATCCGGCCTGGCAACGGAATGCACGGAATGACTGTGCGCAGGTGTAAATCACTCTCAGCTTCAAGCTCGTACCGTGGGGTACACGTGACCTACCCAAATCGTCGGCACGGCACTCACGGTACCGTAGTGGGAATCGACCCTAAGGCTACAGACATTTAAGAAAGCTACACTGGTCATGATCTAATACGATATGGTGAGTTCGCCAACTGTCATGTGCCGGTCGTTGCTCTTGTTGTTACCCATGTCCTCCTGTTCCATGTCCGAGTCAGTCAGTAGCTCAGTTCCTGAAAAGTCAACAAGTGTTCTTGGCACTCTGAAGGTTTTCCGTCCCTTGGCCACCATAAAGCCTCCCTTGTCATGGAGTCTGCGAGTGCTTAGAAAAGTTCTTTCATAATGTTTCATTAAAGTTCATCACCATTTTCTACTAGCCAGACCTGGTGAGAAGGCATCGGTACCTGTTCATGTGATGAAGTACAGTAAAATAGAATACCACAGTGATAGTATTAAGCTTGTCCTACTATCAGCGGACATCCCATTCAGTGCCCTGAATTTTAGTCTAAATTATCCATGTCTGGTACTTTCCCTCAAATTGTACTCACTATTTATTCGGGATTCAGGTGGGTAATCCATGGTGCAGTTTCCATTTCCGCAGTCTTCTAGTGTGTTTAGGCAGTCTTCAGCTATGTAACAGCTGGATTGAATGAGGCTTAATTCTTCCTCACAAGTGCAACTGTAAGTAGAGCCTGCTTTTTGGCATTGTGTGTATCCGAAACAAATTGGAAATTGTCCATTTGCCAGGCATGTGTATCCAGGTGATGAACAGGTCGGCGTAATAACTGCTACGGACTCATTACAACGGCAGTAGTAGTCAACGCTTCCGTTATTGTTGAACTTCTGAAAATGTCCAGGTGCACAGGACTTTGACACTGGATAGCATAAGACATGAATATACAAGATTTAATTTTACACTACACTGACAAGACATAACTGCCTGATACTTAGAAGTAGAACACCCTTCAGGCTCATGACCATTTTGAAGGTTTTCACTAGTGTGAAATACATTTTCATGCCTGATCCTCAAACCACGGACAATGGATTAAATAGAAATGTTGTTTTGCCCTTCCTCCTTGCACTGTTTTTATCACCTCTCTACTTTATATAATCCATTGTCCATGTTCATTTGATGTTGCCTGTATCTCATCTGATGATAAGGCGTGAAACTATACAATTGAAAACTTTCAAAAAGGTTCAAGAGCCTGAAATGTGTCCTACTTCTAAGTAAAAAAAATAGGAAGACTAATAAGTTACTACGAACTTAGAAGTTGCGACTTCGGCGGTAATGTCATGAAGATGGTTGCTCCAACAACTCCATGAGCGACTCTGACTCACGCTGCTACCTGGGGCTTCACGAGGTGTTTGTCGCGCTGGAAACAAAGCGTCTCTGTAAGTTTGTATCCCTGGTGATGGTTTGGCCTGGAGAGCAGTATATAAGTGGTGCTTTTCAGGCACAATCTTCCTCAGCCTACTCAAGCTCAACTGACGAGGGGTGAATTCCCCGAAACACTGTGTATTGAGCAGGGAGTGGTGCTTTCTTTCAGGTTTGCCGAGCGGAAGGTGCGACGTGCTCCTGGTGTGCTCCGGATGGCAGTCGTGAGTCAGTCAAGTGTCAAGTTCGGCAAGAAGCGTGTGCTCCTCGTTGGAGCAACCAACTTCATGACATTACCGCCGAAGTCGCAACTTCTAAGTTCGTATTGTTGTCCCTCACGCGGACGTGCGACTAGTTGTTGGAGGTGTACAGCGTTGTGAATAGCTATACTGGCTCTCAACGTCTGTTTAGCACAACTCCATGAGCGACTCTGACTCACGCTGCTACCTGGGGCTTCACGAGGTGTTTGTCGCGCTGGAAACAAAGCGTCTCTGTAAGTTTGTAGCCCTGGTGATGGTTTGGCCTGGAGAGCAGTATATAAGTGGTGCTTTTCAGGCACAATCTTCCTCAGCCTACTCAAGCTCAACTGACGAGGGGTGAATTCCCCGAAACACTGTGTATTGAGCAGGGAGTGGTGCTTTCTTTCAGGTTTGCCGAGCGGAAGGTGCGACGTGCTCCTGGTGTGCTCCGGATGGCAGTCGTGAGTCAGTCAAGTGTCAAGTTCGGCAAGAAGCGTGTGCTCCTCGTTGGAGCAACCAACTTCATGACATTACCGCCGAAGTCGCAACTTCTAAGTTCGTATTGTTGTCCCTCACGCGGACGTGCGACTAGTTGTTGGAGGTGTACAGCGTTGTGAATAGCTATACTGGCTCTCAACGTCTGTTTAGCACAACTCCATGAGCGACTCTGACTCACGCTGCTACCTGGGGCTTCACGAGGTGTTTGTCGCGCTGGAAACAAAGCGTCTCTGTAAGTTTGTATCCCTGGTGATGGTTTGGCCTGGAGAGCAGTATATAAGTGGTGCTTTTCAGGCACAATCTTCCTCAGCCTACTCAAGCTCAACTGACGAGGGGTGAATTCCCCGAAACACTGTGTATTGAGCAGGGAGTGGTGCTTTCTTTCAGGTTTGCCGAGCGGAAGGTGCGACGTGCTCCTGGTGTGCTCCGGATGGCAGTCGTGAGTCAGTCAAGTGTCAAGTTCGGCAAGAAGCGTGTGCTCCTCGTTGGAGCAACCAACTTCATGACATTACCGCCGAAGTCGCAACTTCTAAGTTCGTATTGTTGTCCCTCACGCGGACGTGCGACTAGTTGTTGGAGGTGTACAGCGTTGTGAATAGCTATACTGGCTCTCAACGTCTGTTTAGCACAACTCCATGAGCGACTCTGACTCACGCTGCTACCTGGGGCTTCACGAGGTGTTTGTCGCGCTGGAAACAAAGCGTCTCTGTAAGTTTGTAGCCCTGGTGATGGTTTGGCCTGGAGAGCAGTATATAAGTTGTGGTTTTCAGGCACAATCTTCCTCAGCCTACTCAAGCTCAACTGACGAGGGGTGAATTCCCCGAAACACTGTGTATTGAGCAGGGAGTGGTGCTTTCTTTCAGGTTTGCCGAGCGGAAGGTGCGACGTGCTCCTGGTGTGCTCCGGATGGCAGTCGTGAGTCAGTCAAGTGTCAAGTTCGGCAAGAAGCGTGTGCTCCTCGTTGGAGCAACCAACTTCATGACATTACCGCCGAAGTCGCAACTTCTAAGTTCGTATTGTTGTCCCTCACGCGGACGTGCGACTAGTTGTTGGAGGTGTACAGCGTTGTGAATAGCTATACTGGCTCTCAACGTCTGTTTAGCACAACTCCATGAGCGACTCTGACTCACGCTGCTACCTGGGGCTTCACGAGGTGTTTGTCGCGCTGGAAACAAAGCGTCTCTGTAAGTTTGTAGCCCTGGTGATGGTTTGGCCTGGAGAGCAGTATATAAGTTGTGGTTTTCAGGCACAATCTTCCTCAGCCTACTCAAGCTCAACTGACGAGGGGTGAATTCCCCGAAACACTGTGTATTGAGCAGCGAGTGGTGCTTTCTTTCAGGTTTGCCGAGCGGAAGGTGCGACTTGCTCCTGGTGTGCTCCGGATGGCAGTCGTGAGTCAGTCAAGTGTCAAGTTCGGCAAGAAGCGTGTACTCCTCGTTGGAGCAACCAACTTTAATAAGTTACTAGTTATGAATAACAGTTAAAGATAACTTATACAGCAAAGAAACAAAACAAAACAAAACTAACAAGGATATTGAGACATTCGACACCTAGCTCCAAAGCATCTACTAAGCGCTCACCAACAATCGTCCAACTTGGGAGGCTCCAATTAGGCGTTGTTTTCGCACTACTTGATTGTAAAGATACCGTTACCTTGGTAGACTGTTAGTCATACCTAGTCACGTATTGGTCCTTTTCTCGTCTTTACGTATTGTGTTGGTTCACCATCCGCGTGTAAATAGACACACCTGATCAGCCGTCACCAGCAATATGGCAGGACGTACGTCATGGGAAACTACTAGTTATTGTTCCTAACATGTCCTTCATCGTTATGTTAGGCCCACAAGTAATTACAATATATTAATTCATTCATTAACACGCATGCACTCGCTATTGCAGACCAGTGGAGAGCACACATCATATGGAGGATTCATGGAGTGCTGGGTAACCGAATCTGGCATGTGATAATCATGTAGGATAGTCCACGCACGAGGTGCAGCCCATGAAATGGGCAGCCATGAACTGGGCGGAGTGTGGACGGCCTGTATGATAGTGTGTATGTATGTCCACGCACAAAGTGCAGCCCATGAGATGGGCGCCCATGAAATGGACGGAGTGTGGACGGCCCACGCACACGAGGTGCAGCCCATGAAATGGGCACCCATGAACTGGGCGGAGTGTGGACGGCCTGTATGATAGTGTGTATGTATGTCCACGCACAAAGTGCAGCCCATGAGATGGGCGCCCATGAAATGGACGGAGTGTGGACGGCCCACGCACGAAGTGCAATGCCCGTTAGGAGGCAGGAGTGTGGGAGTATGAGTGTGATGGCCGAAGACCGTGATAATTGCCAGATGAGAGGAGATAGCTGGCCCAGCACTCCTATTTATTTTCGTCTTGTATGAGTTATGATACCTGTGTTGAATCAAGGATATCAATATTATTCATAGATGGGAAGAGGTGGGTGGGTGAGAAAGGAACAAACCGGTGTTCTTCTCACTACCCAAGCAAAGCAAATATGAAGTAGCAATACGGCCAGCGCAAAGTATGGTGTATGCGTTACGGGTTCAAGCTCCGATGTGTGCTGCAGCCACATATGGCTGGTTGGCTGGCGAGTTCAGGTGAGTTCCGGCGTACGCATGTTACATGCCACCACAGCGTGCATGTACGTGTTACTTGACATGCATCAATGAATAGCGTGGGATCTGCGGGCTCTTTGGAAGCCGCTGGAGCGCGTGTGAAGTGGTGGCTTGTGCAATGTGTTAACCTACATTACCGCAAGCTCTAATGTGCTATTTTAATCCACTGTTCCTGCTCCTTTTCCCTTGCCTGTATTTCACCTGACGAGAAGGCTTGAAAGTATACTTGTGAAGACAAAAACTTTTAAGATGTTTTGTAATGAGCCTGAAGTGTGTCCTTTTTATGAGTATTAATTCATATAATTCATTAGTTCATGCATTATTAATTTGGCCTGGGTAGCTACTTGCGCGTCCATGTTTGCCATAGCTACCCAGGCCCTTTATATTGCGTTGCTCTCTCTTCAACTCTCTCTCTTCAATAAGCTCTCTTCAATAATCTCCCTCTTCAATAATCACAATGTAGTCGTTTCGTTCGTCCTGGTCTTAGTCATCCCGTCTCTTATAAATGTCGTTCCACCAACCTACTTGTTCCCTTTGTCAGTCTCTTGTTCGGATTCAACAGTTACACGAACATCGCGTTTAGTAGAATATTGTAGTGACTTTCTGTTTGTGGCATTTCGTTTTCATAATTCGATGATACCATTTTGATTTGGTCTTTCGATTCAGGTTTCGCAATTCGTCATGCAAATGTCCTTGGCAACTACGAATACGGGAGGTAGCTTGGCGTGCTGGTGTTTATATGCACACTTGCTTGGATCAGGGAATCAAGGGATAAAATGTGTACCTGGTAAAACAGGTGTACAGGTCCTCTCTCGTTAGTAGATGTTTTGTATCTTTAACACAAGCATCTGCATGCCGCACTCACATAACGAGCAACCAATTTGGGGAATAGGAGGGTTTGTCAATTGCTTTGCCAGGCTCGGAATGAGTGAGTGAGTGAGGAGTGACAGCTTAGAGCTGTGCGGATGTTTGTGTATGGCAGCTGGGCAGGGCCAGCTGAGGAGGCTGAGTGAGCTCTATGCAGGCAGCGGGGCAGGGCCTGCTGGGGAGGCTGAGTGAGCCCTGTGTAGGCAGCTGGGCAGGGCGTACTGTGGAGGCTGAGTGAACTCTATGCAGGCAGCTGGGCAGGGCCCCGCGGTGGAGGCTGAGTGAGCTCTATGCAGGCAGCTGGGCAGGGCCCCGCGGTGGAGGCTGAGTGAGCCGTATTGAGAGGCTGAGTGAGCTGTCTGGGTGTGAGAGGCTGAATGAGCCGCATTAATAGCCTGGTAAGCAAGGTTGAATCGCCAAATGGAGAACCTCCTATTCACTGTTAACCCTCATTCCGGATCGTGGGGTCCAAACGGACCACAGGGTATGATATTGTAAATAATTTTACTTTGCTGCATCACATCTCCCTGTAACTTCATGTATTGCTCAACAACACAATAACCGAGATAAATAAACAGTCTGGGTTAGAGGTTCATGATGGATTTCACTTTTATTACGGAGAATGCGGGCGGGATCCAAATGGACCCCAGTAATATAGAACACAGGGAAGTGCAATAATTGCGATAGTTTTGGTATTTATCTACATGGTCACCGGATACATGGATGACATCCACTGATGAAATAGATTGCATTAGTAGCTTGGAAATAACACACCCTCTCAACTGAGAAGAGCCTTGTTTTATAGCACAAGGTGATAGAGAGAACACCAATGAGAATGTGAGAAGAACCGAAGTGTCAAGTAAGAAGGAAGTGTGAATACTGTCTGCATGAGAGAGGGGTGTGAAATGCATTCAATAAATATTAATAGGCAAAGGTGGGAACTATCACACTTCTCCCCTCCCATTCAATTGAGTTCTGAAGATACCGCCTCAAGGGAAAGATTGGTGACCCGGAATCATCCATCAAGTAGGTTGCAGGCTCCCTGGTCGGCTCATTGTAACCCTTCCATTTTAGCAATTACTGCTGCTTTCCGCGGTGAGTTCTATTAGAAACTACTTCTTCGACAATGAAACGTTCATTGCCAGCAAGGTCAATTATTGGTGGTGGAGCTGATGACTAAGGATTGAGTTCATCAGTAACGAACTATTTCAGGGCAGCTCTGTTGAACACCGAATGGACACGACATGTTCTTGGGAGGTCCGACCGCACAGTCGCGCCAGATGCCTTCTTGACTGTAAATGGACCGAACCAGCGTGGTCTCAGTTTAGCGCAAGGCTGATCTCGTGATACTGACGTGGTTATAATAGTCCCTGTAGATCATCCTTTCATCCCCACCTTGAACATTGAGTTCCGTCTTCTCCGGTTGGCATAGAACTCTTGGCTTCGGATTGCATCCAGGATGCTGTCATTTGCTACTTGCAGTGCTGACTTCTGGCGATTGACCCAGGATTGCGCCTCATGGCAAGTTGAAACCTCCGCCTGGAGAAGGGCGTCTGCAGCAGATAACGGATGTTGGCCGTAGTTAAATAGAATGGAGTATCACCTGTAGATCCTTGAACCATGTCGTTGTAAGCAAACTCGCATATCGGCAGAAGTTCCTCCCAATTAGTCTGCCGATGGTTAACTGCTGAACGTAAGATTTTACCTATTGTCCGATGCACTTGTTCCGTTGCACCATCAGTCTGCGGGTGATTGGCAGTTGAAAAGTCGAGGCGATCTCCCAGCTGCTTGAAGACATCACGGTAAAGCTCGGCAATGAAACGAGGATCACGGTCGCTCACAATGGACTTACTGAGACCGTGTAGGCGATAGACATTGCGCATGTACCGATCAGCCACACCCTGTTCGTCTCCCTTTGTATGCTGGCAGGTTATGTCTTTTTTGCCTAGGTTGTAGGTAGTGATGTTAGAGAGACGCATGGTGCACGCCAGGAGCGTTCAGCGGAGCTGAACCGGCGGTGGTATCAACACCCCCCTCCTGCATCTCCGTAACGGGATGGGGACCGTGACTGGCTGGGGCCAGGGCGGCGAGGTGGGGATGCCCTATCCCAGCTGCGCTCGCCTGACCGTCCCCGTGCAGGGTGATGTGGTGAAGCAGTGGTGAGGGCCTGCACGGCAGCCACGAGTTGTTACACTTGGGTCCGCAACTCAGAAAGGTCGTCACTAGCACTGCACGCTGGCTTGGCAGGGGGATGTGCGGCTGTACTGGTAGTAGTAGCGACTGCGGACACAGTGGGGGGGGGGGGGCGTAGATTCCACAACCTTATCGGCGATCGTGGCGAGCTCACTGAGGCCGAGCGATGCAGGCGTGGAGGACAGCACGAGCCGGACGGGAGTGGGCAAGCCCTGTACGAAGAGCTCCCCGAGTATTGTTGCATCCAGTTGCCGCTCGCCAAGAAGTTGCTGCATACGGCGGAGCATCTTACTGGGGGCTGGTCGCCCAGTTCGACTGTGCCCAAGAGCTCACGCAAACGAGCTTGTTCACTTTTCTGTGTCCGTGGGACGAGCAACCCTTTTGTGTCTCCTCGGGCGGGGAGAGGAGCAACTCCTGGACCTCGACGGCATACTGCGGCTCGAGGCTGTGCGCGACAACCTGAAACATCGTACAAAACTATGACGCCAGCGATCGCGAAGCCCTGGCCCTTGTCTTCTTCGCTAACCACTTCCGGCATTATCAGCTAGGTCGCGAGTTCACTGCGTGGACAGATAATTCTGCATTAACTGCGTTGCGGGCAACCAAGGAGCCCCGTGGTCGGAAAGCTCGATGGATAGACGCTTTGGCTGTATTCGACATTACTGTTGTTCATCGCCCCGGGTCTCGACACAGGAATTCTGATGCCATGTCCCGCTGTCCTGGTGACAGATGTGCCGTCTCCTCCGCTAAATCCGCCGCCTATTGCCCGTGATGTACCGTTTTCAGCTGCTGCTGAAGTGCCATTTGCTGCTGATGTTCCTCCGGCTGCTGAGATTGTTCCTCCTGCCGTTTTGTTCGTCCTCCTGGTGCCTCTGCCGCTGGACCGTCGTCACCTGATTGTTTCAAGCCTCAGAGTCGTCTTGCTCCGTCTTATCCTGTTCTTGCTGAGGGTTTATTCAGTTATGATGCTGCCAGTGGCAAGTTTGTTTGTCCGCCTGAAGCCATATCCCGTCCTCCCGACTGTCAACTGCCCGCCGTTACTACTTCTTGTTCTGACCCGCTGACGCTACCTGATGATGATCCACCGCTTCAGCCGCCGTCTTCTGGTCTGGTCCGTACTTCTTCTCCTGTTTTTGGTCGTTCTGGCCGTGTTCGCACTGCACATGCTCAACTAGCTAGCTATGTCCTGGACTGAGTTTATTTTGGCTTGTTTTCTTTTGTTTGTTTCCTAGGTATTCCCGTGGACATGAAATTTTGCTAGGGGGCACAGTGTAATAGGTGTAGTTATGCTACGACCTGTACATACTCACTATTCGTATTTCCCGCTCGTTCCCCTTGGCAAGGAGAGCCACCTACGTATAGAAGAGGGCGTGCTCCAGTGGATCTCTAGTGTTGTCTGAGTTGTCGTTGTCCTGTTTTCCTTTTCATTCTTGTCTACACTCTTGTCGAAATACTTTCCATACTCAACACTATAAAACCCCTGTGTTCTGGTGTGAGGGGACTTCATTTAGCCGGGAGCTTGCATTGCTGTGAGAATGGGTGTGTCTACCCTACTACTCTCCATTCTTCTATCCTCGTGATTTTTCACTCCAAGTGTATAAACTCTATTGTAGTTTCATAATTCTCTCCAGTCACAAATTCTAATTGTGACAAAAAACGTTCTATAATACTTTATTCGTCGCCATGGTTGTGATATGAGTGCAAATAGAGTTATATTCATTGCATTATTAAGATGATTGTCTCCACGTCCCCTTTATTAGAAACACAGCGATTAATTTTGTTGAAACGGTGCTCGTTCTGAATCAACATTATCTTGATAACAATAGGGGATGATGAAAGAATTCCAGATACAATGTACTATTCATTCCTTTGGCACTTATTTAATGATGTTCACCATCAATGTCATAGCTTACCTTGATTCAAGTACTGAGCAACCCATGAGTTAACATAGACACACCCGGAACAGGGGTTAGCGGAGATAGTGCCGATACCATATAAACTGACATAGAGACTTGGTGTCAGAATAAGAGGATTGTAATCGAGCCTTCTACAAAGGACAAAAGAGGTCAGAGCAAACTTGGGGTTAATAATCGGAAAAAGGAAGACGTAATGGCAGCTACTTCGGCGGTATTTTGTTGTGAAGGGTGGTTTTCACGCCACGCTGGAGCTTGCGCTTATCCAGTGACTTGATACTTGACTTACCCACTACTGCCATCCAGAGCACTTCCGAAGGCCATTTAACCTTCGTTTCGAGAAGGCCATTTAATTCGTTTCGGAAACCCTGCAAGAAAGCGCCACTCTCTATACATCGTTTCGGGGAAATCTCACCTCATCAGTTGAGCTTGAGTAGGCTGTAGAATATTGTGCTGAAGAGCATCACTTATTATAGTGTTCTCCAGGTACAAACATCACCACGGGTATAACTTAGCACAGACACTCAGTTTTCAGCGTAACAAATGCCTAGCGAACACCAAATAGCAGTCTGAGTTAGTGTCGCTCTGGGACGAAAAAAATCAGACGTCGACGACCCTCTCTCATTCACAACGCTCTCACCTCCGGGCACAACAAAATTTTCTTGCAGGTTTGCCCAGTCGAAGGTTCAATGGTATTATAGCGGTCCTGAGTCCGAGTCAAGTGTCAAGTCAAGTCGGCGGAGAGGCGCTAGCTCCAGTGTGGGTAGCAAATCCTTTCCTAAAATATCATCGCCGAAGTCGCTATCTCTACTTTGTACTGTGCGCGACAAGCTGGTTTGGAAGTAGCAGCGTTGCGAATTACGGGGAGCTCTCGACACTTTTATTTATTTATATATATATGTCTGTACCTCATAGCATTTCAAGACAGCCAATTGAATTGCGGAGATGGTGCAAATCATGCAAACCAGCCGAAAGTGTTTGCATAAGCCACTTCGAATAGATACACAAGTCCACAACAGTTACAGAAAAAGACAAAAAGAAGACAAAACTAAGGTGCCGACACCACACGGGCACAGAAGCCCACCCACCGCTTCGGTCAGCAGTAAGGGCCCATAACGCCTCCAGATCGACTATGCTTGACAAGGAAAATTCATTCTGCTTGGCATCATCTCGTCACGAGTAGCGTTTCCAGCGTATGTCTTCGTCGTCCCCTCCAGCCCCCTGGACCAGGCTCTGCGAAGCACGCTCCCATGCTCAGTAATGGTGAATAGTTCGCCGGGAGCTGAAGGGCCTGCCCAAATAGCCTCCACCTAGCTCTTGAGATGATCATACCAAGAGAAGAAGAAATGTACGCTCATAGTCATCCACAAACTTGAGATGGACTGCACGGACAGCGAAACAGGTGAATAAACAGACCCACACCTTGGTGGTGGAGGAATCGGCCTGCTTGATCAGCAATGGTCCAAAGTAGTCTAGACCGGTGAACTCAAATGGATTAGCAGGGTTGACACGCTCAGCAGGTAGAGGCGGCATCAAAGTAAGACGATACAGTGGTGAGTCTTGACAAAGGCACACAAGACATAACTTCAGTTCAAAGCGAACAGCCTGACGACCATGACGAACCCAGAAGTTGAGGCGAGGGTGTAGCTTGGACCAGCATGCAGCAGGCGGACATGGATGTCGAGAATGATCATGTCCATGCCGCTTCTGTCTCCGCTACTCCCGCTTTATACACGCTTCCCGCTGCTGTGACCGTCCCTGTAAACGTCTCACTTAGTCAACTGAGGAATAATCGTCTCTTTATTAGTAAAGAAGCAGTTTTATACAGTAGCTAGAATAACAGGCGCCAAGGTTAGCCATGAACAGTAAGTGCTAGAAGTTGCACAAGGTGTGCAACTAATAGGCGCGCACAAGCTGTGCAGTGACAGGCGCGTACATAGGTGTGCAGTGATAGGCGCGTACATAGGTGTGCAGTGATAGGAAGGCAGAAGAAGGTGTAACGGTTACACCATCCCCCTCCTCTCGGTTGTGCAAAACAAAATAGAATGAAATATTTTTAAAGAACACAAGTGGAGCAATGTTTCTTCAGGACTCGTCCTTGAGAAAATTTTCTGGCTCCCAGGTTGTCTCGTCATAACCCTTTCACTTAACCAAAACTCAGGTGTGCCTTTGCATACTCGGTGATCCAAGATTTCCTCCACAATGTACCCTGTGTTGCCATCCAAATCAGTTGTAGGCGGCCGAGGCGGCTGGCGGCGCCCAGGAATTGCTATCACTTCGTATGGTTTCAGCGCGTTCACATTGAACACAGGGTGGCAGCGTAAGGTTGTCGGCAGGTTTAGGCTATATGCATTGTCATTAGCTGACGGGGTGACTCCGTGAGTGGGTAGCTGGGTAACTGGGTGACTGGGCAACTGGGTAACTGGGCAACTGGGCAACTGGGCGACTCTGGGTGACTGGGTGACTCTGGGTGACTCTGGGTAACTGGGTAACTGGGTGACTGGGTGACTGGGAAACTGGGTAACTGGGTGACTGGGCAACTGGGTGACTTGGTAACTGGTGGACTCTGGGTGACTCTGGGTAACTGCGTGACTCTGGGCAACTGGGTGACTCTGGGTAACTGGGTGACTCTGGGTAACTGGGTGACTCTGGGTAACTGGGTGACTCTGGGTGACTCTGGGTAACTGGGTGACTCTGGGTAACTGGGTGACTCTGGGTAACTGGGTGACTCTGGATAACTGGGTGACTCTGAGTACTCTTGAACTGGGTGACTCTGGGTAATTTTTTTAAACAACGCAACACAATATTGTGGAAAGGTCACAACAATAAGAGACAGGATCAAAAAGAAAGCTTTACAATAATAATAATAAAACGTAGCCTGTAAAATGTAAAGAGTCACTGAGTACAGTTTAATTCAATATCCACGTCCAGTATTTATAATAAGAATAATTTGCTGCAATTTGTAGATTCTCACATGCGAGCAACCTGGGCCCCGGCAACAACCAGCTCAGCAGACTCCGGATGCCGAAACGATCGCTCACGGAAAAGACCCCGTGAACCCCGCAAACACATGATGAATGATCGCAACAGGGCAAATGAGAGACGCCATCTGATGTAAGATATTACGTGGGAGTACTGCTCCTTCCTCCTTTCCGCTCTCAATAACGCGATTCGGCGATAGAGTGCTGTCGCCGCTCTTCCCATGCCACCACTTGCTGACAGAACAACAGGCATGAACGTCGCATGCTCCACCTCTCTCACTCTCTCTTCATAGCATCGTCGCTTTTTCTTTTTCATGGCGCCGATAGACAGTGGTGTGTGGTGCAGATCGATTTGAGCGTGCATGAGGATTAAAAACCCGTATATCAAGTAAAGTACGCTCAAAACGTCAGCCCCATAAACCACTGACCACTACATCAAGCCGCACATGCTCCTCCACAATAGCAGACCTGTATCTCATTCTCTCTTCAGTGAGTGGCTGCAGCAGTGGCTCGATGGAGATATTGTGACAGGTCTCTTGAAGGAGAGAGGCTGTCACATCCCGGATCTCATTATGGCGGATAATGGTAAAACCACCAAGGGGACATGACAAGGCATGGTCAATACCATTGTCCCGTCCACAAGAGCAATGAGTTGGTAACCTCGGCGGCATCCAACCATAACACAGGCACAAGCCGTCCATGAACTCAGCTTTGCTCAGTGAAAAGCCATACTTTTTCAATGGAATGGCAAGTCAGCCAACTCGAGGTGCCAGGTTCACGGGCGAGGACAATGGTGTGTCGCAAGGCGTCCAACGCATCATTGCTGATACGCTGTGCCGACTCCGCCTGGCTATGACGTACTTCCTTCTTCCTCTTCGCCTTCTCCCGCTGGATGCCAATCAAAGAATTCCCAATATCAGAAACACGATCCACGATACGCCGGGAGAGAGATGCTGTGATGGCGACAGACGACTCATACTGGGAGCACAAAGTCATCGGGCTGACCAGGCCCTGGCCACCTAAACGACAGGGCATTGCGAGTACTTCCCTCAACACTGTGCCAGGCAGTGGCCGACCCGTCATTGCTAGTATAAGCTTCGTGCTTATCACGTCCTCCAGTGGCTGGAACTGGGACGGAGAAATAGACTGAACGCGGTATAGGAAAGCCCAGCGACTTCTCAAGCCCGAGACATATGCATAATATGCTGCCTGGGCCTGCGAGCGAGCGGAGTCAGCCAATCGAGTTAGCTCATCAGCCCACTCCTGGACCTTAGTCGATACACAATTCTCCTTGAAGTCAGCTGAGCCGATGGCTGCCCCCAGGTACCAAGCTCCATTACACGTAATGACGACACTGGTGTCGCTGGACAGCTCAACTGCCTCACGATAGCAACGCTCCTTCACCACCAGAATCGATTTTGATGTATTTGGGAAATATCCATAAGCTGGGCCATCACTTGCCAAGATGTCCCACCAACGACGGAGCCTACGCAACACACTCGCCGTTGCGGAATCATCTGCAAACCAAGACTGGATAGTCCCGGCTTGTCCAGCTTTGTGCACGGGAGGCATCATGCCAATGGCATACATGCACATTGCCAGAGGGTCTCCCTGGGTTGTTCCGTCCTCCGACAAGATGCAATCACTATCGACATATAGGCATGCAGGCGTCCTGTAGGTGTAAATTAAAACAGTGGCCAGATTCGGGCAAAGATGTTGAACATTCCGAAGGCAGATGCTGCGATTCAGGCAATTGAAAGCTTTTCTCGCGTCTGCCATCAGAATTCCATCGGTCTCTTCTAGATCAACCGCCTCCTGAATAGCATGTATGCCCGCCTCCACCCCGCAGTCCTGACCGGCGCACAGCTGGGAGCAGCCAACAACCTGCTGAACCACAGGGCCCACAATGGACACAATTGCTTTCCCCACAATGCGACGAACAACCTCGCCGATGCCAATTGGTCTGACATCGGGCCGCTTGTCCAAGGGCAGCAAGCGACATGCAGTGAACGCCAACAATGCACCAGCATCAATAGGCTCAGTGGCCACTCTAATGGCACAAGAAACAAGCGCATCACACAACCCATCTGAAGCGTCCGTGAAACTGGAGCACATATGACGCCAGGCCTCAGCATCCACACCGCTGGGTCCCT